TCCTGTCATTATGTGATAGGCTTGGGCTTTGGAGTCTGAAAGATCAGGGTTTGAATACCTGCTCTGTCACTTGCTGGCCCCTTGCATCAGAACTAAGTGCTGAGCCCCAATATAACACAGAAGTCTCACAGGTTCAGAGGCCCCACCCCAGGAATATCCAGGGACACCATGAGGATAAAATTAGACAATAAAGGGATTAGAGCAAGGCATGGCACATAATCAGCTCTCCATTATGAAAAGGTGGCATTCATCTCTGTCTTCCCTCTATCTGCCAGGCACCCCTGCTCAGGAGGTAGAACGATGGGGCTACTTCTGTTCTTCTTTCCAAATCTGGGCGAGAAGGTCCAGAGAGATGAAGCAACTGTCCCACAGCATATGTCACCCATTGCGCATCCCAGGACTACCCAGACTGCCTCTGGCAGAACTACTGCTGGAGTTGGCATCATAAGAAACGAGACATGGGCAGACACTCTCTAAGCCATGGTATTTATCTCCCTGGTCAAAGTGTGACTGTCTGAAAAATTCATTGATACTTAAAGAATTTTGAAAATAACACTTAACTAAGTTTAGAAACCTATTTTTAACTGTGGCTTCTTGACATGTGTCACCATATCACTGGGGTTGCCCTGTGCCAGATCCAGGATTAGATGAGCAGCTGGGGTCTTCACAATTCACATTGGCTGAGTGTAGTTCTATACATAGGGGCACAGTCTGAGTCTGGCCAGAAGTTTACACAGCTGGGAATCCTCTGCAAGGAAAAAGCTTTTGCTGTCAATTTTGATCCTCCAAATTATAATATTTACCTTCATCTTGTCTAATGTTTAATCTATGTTTATCCAGCACTGTATTGATTAATGGTCTGAGTGAAGCGACAAGGCAGCAGGAGCTTTGAGACCATGGATGGTGCCATGGGGCTTCGGGTGCTGCTGTGCACATCCCTGGTGTCCCTCCTCACCCTACAGGCTGTGCCTGCTTGGGGTGCACCCAAAAGGCCCAAAGGCAGCGAGGTATGTGGGTAAACCTTTGGGGCAGAAACAGGCAGGTGGGCCTGGATGGGGCCAGGAAGGGATACAAGACCCTCAACCCAAGGGCTGGGGCCACCCCCACCCACCTTGACCAGCTCTGACTGGAGCAGTCAGGCCAAGGGGAAGAGTTATAGGCTGCGTCCCATGCCTATTCCCTAACAAACAGTCTGCGGGCCCTGAGCATTCATACTCACATTGACCCTGGTTTGTTTTACAGAAGCGACAGGCTGTGGACACAGTGAGTAGGAGTCTCCACAAAGGAGTCTGTGGCCATTATTACAGGCTTGTTTTCCCTGTCCCCACCCCCCTCAACCCCGGGGATGTGCTCTTCTGTTAGTGCCCTGGGCAGAGGGACTCCCGTCTCCAGGAAATGGGGGCTTTCCCATCCCACCTCAACCCCAATGCATGGTCTCAGGTGGAGAGAACAAATGGGTCTCCCCAGGAGGGCTGGTCTGTTCTTCAGTCACCTCGTGTCAGTCAGAACTGGGTGCTAAGCCCCAATACAACACAAGGTCTCTCACTGGCTCAGAGATCCCCATCCCAGGCCATAGCACCCTTACGTCTTACTTTAGGCTGTTGATGGCGTGATCATCCGGAGTTTGAAAGTCAACTGCAAAGTCACCTCTCGCTTCGCGCACTATGTCATCACCAGCCAAGTGGTCAACAGTGGCAATGAAGCCAAGCAAGTGGCCTTCGATGTAGAGATTCCCAAGACAGCTTTCATCAGCGACTTTGCCATGTGTGTGCTCTGCCCGAGTCCCACACCTAGAGCTATCTATTCACCAGGCCCAGCCCAAGACCACAGCTTAGAGTAGCCAGACAGTGTCGCCCACCTCCTTAGTTCCCAAAGGGCCACAAGCCATTTCCAGCTCTGAGGGGAAGAACAGTCCTTCAGGTCTGTTCTGGGCTCATTGCGGAGAGTAAACTGTGAACTCTATGTTTTCAGCTTAGGGCCCAAGGACCAAAGGCCAGTGTCTAAACTTTCTTGCTGGACTCTGGCTGTGGCTGCCCACCTCACTGCCAAGGGGCCTCTGAGCAACTTTGTGAGCAGTAGGAAGCCAGCAAGGACACCTTCCCATGAGTGCTCACCTGGACATGACCTTTTCAGGGTCTGGGCTGGGAGCACCTCCAGTATGTGTGAACAGGGACGGACACCTCCCATGAGTGCTTCTTCCTCTCTGCAGCACAGCAAATGGAAAAGCATTCATCGGAGACATAAAGGACAAAGTGACTGCATGGAAACAGTACCGGAAAGCGGCCATCTCAGGAGAGAATGCTGGCCTTGTCAGGTGAGTTCTGAGCCCTGCTGGCCCAGTCTCTGAGGCTGCCCTCCCCAACCGGGACAGATCTGAGGACTATAAAGTGGCTTTGGGTGGAGAGCAGCCCCAGGCTGATGGGAAGTCAGCAAACCGCCCAAACCTGAATGCCAGCATAGGTGTACTGGGCAAGGCTGGTGTTGACTTGCCTATCTCCCAGACCAGCCTGATGGAGAAAGGGGGCCCTGCCCTTGGGCCCTGACTCCAACCAGCCAGTTAAGACAGGATGAGGGTCAAGGACACATGGGAGTAGCACTAAAATAAGAGAAATTGATTCTGAGGCCTATGCTTTAGGTGACAAGAAACCACATGTCATTTTACTATTTGTCTGTGTTGTTGCCTCTGGTGCCATGTCCAGAGCCTCAGGAAGAACAATGGAGCAATTCACCATCCACGTCACCGTTAGTCCCCAGAGCAAGGTCATGTTCCGGCTGACCTACGAGGAGGTGCTGAAGCGAAGACTTAAGCAGTACGACATTGTCATCAAAGTCAAGCCCAGGCAGTTGGTGCATCATTTTGAGGTAGATTGGAGGTGACCATACACCCAGGGGAGTCGTCTCAGGAGCAGGGCTCCTGCCTCTCTCTCACTGCGGCTCCAGGCATTGGCTTGGTACCCATCATGTGCCATCCCATGCCTGAGCACAGGGGAAGGGGACTGACTCTTCAGGGTGGGCTCTATTGGGCTCTCTATGGGCAGGGAGCTCCCTGAACCCACCGATCTCCTCCTTCTCTCTGAGCCTCAGCTGGCTCATCTGTTAAATGGGGTTCCTACATGTCCCAGGATTCCCGAAAGGATCACGAGATACTAAATATCCAGATAGTTTGTAAACCATAAAGTCCTGGGCAGCCTAAGGGACTGTAATTGTCTCTGGCACCTCAGTGGTGGTCGAGTTGAGGGGAGTAGGCACGTACATCTTCATTTGGCCAATATTTTTGGAGCGCCTTTGACTGGCCCTTTGAAGCACTGGGTGGGTGCTATACATAGTAGGTGGCCAGGACACATATTGATTCTTGGCTGAGACTTGATAATGGCCCAAATGGGAGCCTTGGTGCAGGAATTGCTTCAATGATGCAGATTGACGTGGACATCTTTGAGCCTCAAGGGATCAGCAAACTGGATGCCCAGACCTCCTTCCTTCCCAAGGAACTGGCGACCCAACTCATCAAGAAGTCTTTCTCAGGCAAAGAGGTGCATGGGATGGCTGGAGGCTGGGGGGAACAGATCTTCTGAGACTTCTCAACTTGGCCCAACCCCTTATGGAGTGTCTAAGTTTGGCCTGGAAACCAGGCCGGGGCTGCAGGCTAGCGGTAAGAGAGGCAGGTGTTTTATCATTGATATCCGGGGGAACTTGGCACTCCTGGTTCTCAGAGCAACTTAGCAAAAGCCTGCATGCTGAGGCTGGGGAAGACACGCTCCCGTTAGCTGCATCATCTGGGGTGAGTTGCTGGCTTTCTTGAGCCTCAGTTTCTTCTTTGCCTGTTTCATACCCATAGGAAAGCATTCAGGGTACATGAGCAAATGTCAGTTGCTGTTGAGGTTAGGATTCCAAACTCCAGTGTTCTTGGAAACATAATAACATTTGCAAAGGCCTTTGGCCTGCCCAGCCTCTTGCCACTTGCTACTTGCCACCCATTTGCAGGAATCCCAGAAACCTCTATGCTTGCCCCGTCCCCAGGTCCTGGAGGAGTATGGCATTTGGATGGGTGATACCCAACTAGTGCCCTGCTTCCTAACTCGCCCTCAGCTGGAGCCAGGAGCAAATCCTTTCATGTTCGCCTAGTTATGGTAGTGACTCCATAATGATTCATTTAAAAGAAATGTTTCTTACAGCTTTGGAGAGGTTCCTTTTAAACAAAATATGACACCCCAGAGTGTTAACGAACATGCTTGAGTTCAGTAGGGGACCAAAGGGATGGATCTTTGTCTTCTTATCAATTCTTTTCAAGTTTTTTTTTTTATGAGCATATCTTACTTTTATAACAAACAAACAAAAGCTAAAACTAAAAAAGCCTTTAAAGAAAATGTGGAATGTACAGAAGTATAGAAAAGTACTGAGTGAAAACCACCCTTCATTTTCCTGAGCACTAATACTAAGTAAGTCCAGACCTCAACTCTGGGTCTTTCCTTCCAGCCTCTGTTCTTTATCTATGTGGGTTCTATTTTCCAGCATGGAGTTATAGCCTTGCTTTTTTATTCCATAGTTTAAGTTGACTAATGCTCTCATGCTCTTATATTACAATTATTTTGTTTTTATTTTGTACACAAAGTGATGATGCTTATTGTAGAAAATCCAATGATTCAGAAGCGTATAAGCAAAGAAATAGGTCTTCTCTCCTACTACCTACTCTCAGCAGCTGGGAGAAGGGCCCACCTGACTCATTTTTATGCTAGTGCAACACACACACACACACATACACATCCCTTATGTTGTCATTGCAAACATCCTATTCGCAGCTGCAAGAACCAGTAATGCCTCATACTCTTGATGGTTCCAGGGTCATGTGCTTTTCCGCCCCACCGTGGGCCAGCAGCAATCCTGTCCCACATGCTCTACAACCTTGATGGATGGGGACTTCAAGGTGACCTATGATGTCAGTCGAGAAAGGCTCTGTGACCTCCTGGTGAGCCCAAAGCTTCTGGCCCAAGCCTCAGAGGGTGGGCAGGGGTGCTTGTCAGAGATGCCTCACTAGTTTTTTGTGTGTTTCAGGTCGCCAATAACCATTTTGCCCACTTCTTTGCCCCCCAAAACCTGACAAATCTGAATAAAAACGTAGTTTTTGTGATTGACATCAGCGCCTCCATGGAAGGCCAGAAAGTGAAGCAGGTAAACTGTGCCTTTAAGCAATTCACCTAACGGAAACTTCTTCAGCCCCATTATCCACACCATGATGGTTTTGCCACCAGAGTCTGGGTTTGGGATTTCTGCTCCTGGTCAGACGCAGGGTGATTTAACCAGAAATTCTAGTGGTTAAAGGTTCTGGAATCAGCCACCTCCTTGCTGTGCAACCGTGGGCAGGTGATTTTACTTCTCCTCAGTGGTAAAATGGGACTAATAACAGTGTCCACAGGGTCATGGATTATCAGTGAGGGAGCGCCTGGAAGATAAAACCTGGGGACAATTGTGGGATCCCTGGGAAGCATCTTGCAACAAGACCATAGTCTGAGGCTCACAGTGCTCTTAAGTGCCCTGTCCTTGGAGCAGTGGAACCACCACTGGACAAGCAGAGTTTTAGAAACTCAGCCCCCTGGGGTCCTTTTTCTTAATCCTGCCCCACTCGAACTCCTGGTCATTTTTTCTCCCTGCACTGGGTCCCTTTGCCTTCTCCCTCTCCCCTACCAACCACCAGAGCCCCACAGGTTGTTCCTCTTCTGGCACCACCTGGCCATCTCCTCCTGCTTGTCCACCATGTACCTCTGCCCTGCAGATCTCTGAAATGGGTATCTGGAGCAGACAGAAGGCACTATCTTGGGGCTCTGCCCCTCCACTGACTGTCCTGTCCTTACAGACCAAGGAGGCACTCCTTAAAATCCTGGGTGACTTGCGGCCGGGAGACTACTTTGACCTGGTCCTCTTTGGGTCTGATGTACAGTCATGGAAAGGCTCTCTTGTGCAGGCATCTGCTGCCAATGTGCAATCAGCTAAGAACTTCGTTCGGCATTTCTCCTTGGCTGGGGGTAAGGAGAATTCAGAAGCGTATAAGCAATCTCGGGCCACCTTTGTGTCACCTCTATCTCCTCAGAATGAAGGCATATACTTGTCTGTTTTCTGTCCTCTGCAGCCACAAACCTAAATGGAGGTTTGCTCCGGGGAATTGAGATCTTGAACAAAGCTCAGAGAAGTATCCCAGGACTCACCGACCATGCCCCAATTCTCATCATGTTGACAGATGGCGAGCCCACAGAGGGTAAGCAGCTAGAGGGCTGCCTTGGAAGGTACCAATCTCTTCATTACTGAAGGCATTCAAGCTGCTCATGGAAACCCAATTAGGGAGGGCCAGAAAGGCTCAGAGCAAAGGCAAGCACTGATCTAAAAACAGCGTTCAGACTGTAAAGTCTGCAGGAACTCCAAGGCACACTTCTGTCCTGAGCTTAGATGTTGAAGTTTCTGCATGACACCACATTGCACAGGGCCTAGGAGGATGGGCAGGATTCTTAGGTTGAGTTTAAAGAACTATGTATTTACCGCTGTCTGTGTGCCAACCACAGGACTACGAACCAAGAAGAGATACCAAGAAAACAAGACATGTCTCTATCCTTAAGGAGCCCAGGGCCCATGGGGAGGCAGACCCAGAAGCAGAAGCTCTGTTGAATGCCCTGAAAGAACAGGGTGCCAGGAGGCTGTGAGACCAGGAGGCAGGGGGGAGGGCAACAGAAAAGGGGCTCTTGGCCCAGAAAAGGTCTCAGAAAGCCTCCTGGAGGAAGTGCCCCCTGAGCTTAGTGTGGAAGGAGGAGAACAGACGCAGGAAGGGGTCCCTAGCAGAGGGGGCAGCTTTTTTTTTATTGTACAAGAAAATTTTTATTATCTTAGCCTTTAGTATGTTATGTAGTTTATACTGAAAAACAAACAAATATTACATCTTTTCTGCAATAGAGAACATTAAATTCATGAGATATACCGATCTATAATATTCAGAAATTTTTCTAGGAAAAGATCTTAAGAAAAATTAACTGGTGTTAATTTTTCCTTTTTCTTTTTATTTCCTCTTTTAATTAATTAATTAATTAATATATATTTTTTTATGGTGACATTGGTTAACAAAATCCAGTAACTTTCAGGCCACAGCAAAGAGCCACTGGAAGCTTTAGAGCAGAATCGGATCTGATTGTGATGGATCCATATAGATGGGCAAGGTCTGTAAGGAGCTGTTAGTAACTGTTGCAATTGTTCAGATGAGCCAACAGGAGGCATTGCCTCTAGATGTGGGTGGTGACTGGAGATGGATTAAGATGGGAGGGTTGGCCTGCAGGCAGTGCGCCTCAAAGCCCCCTCATGCTCCACATGCCTGTGAGCTGGTATCCAGTCACTGCCTGGGTATGTGGCTGCAGGGGTGACAGACCGTTCTCAAATCCTCAAGAACATCCGAAATGCCATCGGGGGCAGGTTCCCGCTCTACAACTTGGGCTTTGGCCACAATGTGGACTTGAACTTCCTGGAGGTCATGTCCATGGAGAACAATGGACGGGTCCAGAGAATCTATGAGGACCATGACGCCGCCCAGCAGCTGCAGGTCTCCTCCTTGCCCACTCCCCGATCCCTCAATGCACCACCAACAGCAGCCAATGGGGAGCCCTGCCTTGGCAGTCATTTCCCTATAAACCTAGAGGAGGAGATAAAGCTTCGGCATGGGTGTGAATTAGCTAGGTGATCTTGAGCCAGTTACTTAACCCTTCTGAGCCTATGATTCTTTCTATAAAGTGTAGATCCCAACACCCCGCTTTGTGAGTGGGTTTCCCATTGGGTGCCCAGGGTGACCCATCAGTTCTGAAGCTGTGTCCCTCACCCTTGCAGGGTTTCTACAGCCAAGTAGCCAACCCCCTGCTGGTGAATGTGGAGTTGCAATACCCCCAGGACTCCGTCTCGGACCTGACCCAGCACAGCCACAAACAATACTACGAAGGCTCGGAGATTGTGGTAGCTGGGCGCATCGCTGACAACAAACTGAGCAGCTTCAAGGCTGATGTGCAGGCCCGTGGGGTAAATAGTGGGCTGCAGACAATGAAGAGGCCGGGCAGTACCAAGAGGCTCCAAATCCACACTGTTCTCCAGCCCTGCCCCCAGGGGGCCTCTCTTTCTCCCAGAATAGTGCCCCCACCTCTGCACCATGCCTAACACAGCCCAGGCCTGAACATTCCTCCACGCAGGTGTCCCAGGGACAGGTTGGAATGGAGCCAACATGGCCTTTATTAGATGTAGCTTGGCCCAAAATGGACCGCTTGTTACTCCTCATATTATTTCTCCCAAGGCGTGAGAGAGTAAGAGGCTAGCTTCTTCCTTCTCACTTGACAACCATTTCCTGAACATCTGCTATGCACTCAACTTTATGCCACAGCGCAGTGTGTGTGTGTGTGCGTGTGTGTGTGTGTGTATGCGCACGCGCGCATGCGAATGTTAGGGATCGTGATGTGTGAGACCTGGACCCTGTCCCACGCAGTGTGGTCTCAAGTGCTGCACTGTGGTTGAGGGTGCAGAACTTGGGCTTTGAATGAGGATAGCTGAGCTGGACCCTGGCTCTACCCTGACCATCTGGATGACCTTGAGAAAATGGGTCCAGCTCCATAGGCCTCAGTTTCCTTTTCTGTACCGTGGGGATGACACTACACTGGGGAGTTGTGTGGAGTAAATGGAATAGTCCACATAGTATGCTTACATACTGCCTGGTGCATGGGATGCCCTCAGGAAATGGTACCCAATTGTTGTAGCTGGGGAGAGAAGGCACATTCGTGTGCGAGGGCAGGTTAAATGGTGGAGCCCACCAAGGACATGGTGGGTATTTGGAGGACCAGGGCATGGTGGAAACAGCTACATAGTGGAAGCACCTGGGTGCTTCTTGGCATCCCTGAGAGTGTAGGGCCTGGTTCTCCTAACCCTGGAATGCCTGAGGCTTAGGCCAACTTGGCTCACAGACGATACTCAGCAAGCTTTTGCGGAAAGAATGGATGAATGGGGTTGAGGAAAGCAGATTTAGGAAAGAGGGTGTTACTGAGAAGAAAGCTGTAGAGATCAGACAAGATTGAGGCCCCTCAGAGCCTTGAGCACCAGCCAGCCATTGTGCTCCTAATGGCTCATGGCCCTTTTCCTCATCACAACCCTCAGGAGGGCCAAGAATTAAAGACAACCTGCCTAGTGGATGAAGAAGAGATGAAGAAACTACTCCAAGAGCGGGGCCACATGCTAGAGAACCATGTTGAACGCCTCTGGGCCTACCTTACCATCCAGGAGCTGCTGGCCAAGCGGTATGACCCTTGCAGCTGCCCGGTGGGCACTATCCTCCCCAGAGCACCCCCCACCCTGACGCATTTGGACTGAGGAGGTGAACAGAGAAGGGGCAATTCTAGGCCTTTGAGGCTGCAAGCAGGTCAGATTCATTGTCCTTCTGTTTTGCTCACTGAGTTAATATCAACCAGTCAGTCAATAGTGTGGGCGGGACCCCCTGGGGCCACAGGGCGGCCCACTCTGCCCCAACTGAGCTGCCGCTGGGGAGGCTGCCCTTTACTCTGGGACTGCCAAGTCCAGATATACTCATTTAATCTTCATGACATGAAAGGAAATTTCATTAACTCCCTTTAATAGATGAGCAAACTGAGGCTCAGAGTGATGAGACAACCTGCCCAGTATCTCACACCTGTTAAATTCTCTGGGCATTTCCAAGGCACATACACCAACCCTGCCCAATTTCCAGGTTTTCTGTGTGGGAGGTCTTTAAGTTATGAGGTCTTCGAAAACAGCCACTGAATGGGGACACTGCAGGTGCTCAATACATGTTTGCTGGATGAGTGAGTAAACAAATGACTGAAAGGATGAGAGAGTGCGAGTCCAAAGTACATTGTCATGCAAGCTGCGGGGCTTGAAGCCGGTTTCTGTCTCACAGAATGAAGCTGGAGGGGGAGGAGAAGGCCAACCTGTCAGCCAAAGCCCTGCAGATGTCACTGGCCTATCAATTTGTGACACCACTGACCTCCATGATCATGAGGGGCATGGTGGACGAGGACGGCCTGCAGCCCATCATTGACAAGCCACCGGAGAGTATGAGCTCTGCAGAGAGGGAGGCTGGGGCCTTAGGGAGGCTTCTGAGGGCCAAAAACCTTCTGGGCTTTAATTCTCTTCCCTTTTTCTCCCTTTCAGATTCTCAGCCCTTGGGTGAGTTTTTAAATCACATTGGTTTTCTCAAGGAGCTCCTGGTGGCTGGGCAAGTGGCACCTGCTCCAGCACCCAGTACCTAGCTCCCCATCCCCACATCTCCCTGCCTCCAGCCCTTTATAGTTTCTTGTTCTCCGAGATGCCCTTGCCCACTTTACCACAAACTAGTTGCTTTCTCCTGTGTGTGTGGGGACCCTTGCACAGCATGAATCCCCTACCAGTCTCCATTGGGACCCTCATATGAGCATGTGTCTGTGAGGATGCCTGGGCCCCTGGGGAGGGCCGGAACCTCCCTAGAAGAGGGTCGGCCCAGGCCTGATTGGCCTCTGGGCCCTGGGTGCGCTTGGGAAATGAGGTGTGTGCGCCTTTTATGAGGGGTGGCAAGAGTGACACTGTCTTCTGTTGTACTCCACAGAGATGCTGGGACAAAGAAGGTGTAAGTGGCAGCCATTTTGATGACGCACAGCTCTACCTCACTCCTCCACATATTACTCTCCCTCAGGCTGTGAATTCAGTCCTGAGCAAAGCCCCTAGGTTTTGCCTGATGAGGAAACAACAGCCCAAGTCTTCCTTTCTCTGCTCCAGCTCTCCTCACTGCCTCTCACTGGGAATTCTCAGACAGTAGCCCCGATGTGGGCCTGGCCTCTCCTGCCCTTATGCTACCAGCTCCACCAGGTCCCCATGGAAGGAGACAGAGAGGGTCAACCCACTGCACTGGCCTAAACTTCTCTTCCT